ATGATAATACTCGAAACTGACCAGAGGAAGAAGATGATGAACAGTAGCCGAAAATCGATTATTTACTCCTAAGAATCGATTAGAACTTTGTTCAGATGAGATGCTGGAAGTCAGAAAAACATAATCGATTATTTTATTAAAATAAATCGATTTTTATTATATAATCGATTATTTAGAATTTATAAATCGATTTTAGTTACATAATCGATTATTTATAAACTATAAATCGATTTTAATTATTAATCGATTATTATTCATTAAATAATTGATTTTTCCACAATTTATATATATATATATATATATATATATATATATATATAGATTATTTTATATTAAATTAACTTCAATTCGAGTTACTGCTTCGAAAAATATTTCTCAAATTATGCTCTAAAATCCTACTTTTGATACCAACTAATTATAAACAATATAAATATGATTTTGTACAATAAAATTATGTTTTGACATATAAAAACATAATGTGATGCATGACGATAAGTTCGGGTGTTAACACTCGATACTAGACCACTATTTGTTATTAGATTTTATGATTGTTTGACTATTGATTATGATAATTAATTATGTTGAATACTCTGAATGACGATCATGAATTGTTAAGTTGAGAAAAATGAATTAATAAATCATACTATTAAGGCTACTTAGAAGAGCTCTAAGATAGACCTCTGATTAGAATGGGCCTTGCGAGTATAAAACGTATATTCGGTGGCCTTGGGTAAAAACGTACGTACGGGGTCCATAACCAAACTAGAGGAACTCGTTTGGGGATACCACCCAACCCAACAGTTAGTATCCTACTGTTCGGTTTTCTAGATTTGTACCTTAAGCAAAGGCTAGTTTAAGAGTTGGTAAATTAATCGGAATATATGTACCTTAAACTAATGACCTAGCTTAAGAGTTGGTTAGAAGTACCTTAAACTCTAATAAGTTTAAGAGTTGGATAAAAGTACATTAAAACTAGAATTAGTTTAAGAGTTGGTTAGAAGTACCTTAAACTCTAATAAGTTTAAGAGTTGGATAAAAGTACATTAAAACTAGAATTAGTTTAAGAGTTGGATAGAAGTACCTTAAACTAGAACTAGTTTAAGAGTTGGTAAACATTAAAAAGATTGGCCTTAGACTAAGAATAGTTTAAGGATATTATTGAATGAGGATGTTGAATGTTGAATATGAATATTGAATGACGAATGTTGAATATTGATTATTGTATATTTGAACTGAATACTTTGTGCATGATATCAAATGATTTGATTATGAATTTGGATTCAATTTAT